TCTCAATCTCGGAGGGCATATGCTCAAAATACACAATCATGTCCAAACCATTATTTTTCTGCCACTTTTCTATAAAGAAAAGAGGAACTCACATTTACTACATCTCAGAGGAAAGCCACTGCGCAGTTCTTTGGCCACGCTACTGACTTTGGGAGCTACATTTGGAGGGCTCTCAGAAAGGCATACGCACTATATTATATATGTATAGTTTTCCAGGATGTGATTCATGGGAATGATACATTGATATTATACTGGATATTGCTACATTCTAGGAAGGTACACTACATTATCATAAAGGAAACTCATTGTGCTATAGACCTAGACAACTCGAAGTTTCAAATGTCGGAGGTGATTCGTAGGATATTTACCAAAAATGGGGAGTTAACAAAAGACATAAAAGGATGCAATAGAATCTCAAGACGAGATTCAACAAATCAACAAGGAATCACACAAAACAATGCACGAATATCGTGTGAACTGAAGGATGTATTGTTTTCATTTGGTTTAATGCTTAAAGTTTGTGCTACGCTTTCAAGCCAAATTATGAAGATGTCAACAAATTATTCAAAGAGCTACAAGGATCTGCCCAGCTCTTGCTAGAAGACGAATCAAATTTGGAGACAGTTGGCGCTCATGCGATTGATATCCATATAGCTAGTTTGTATTCTGTTTCGTTTATACTGTTAGAGGTTACAAGTTTCTACATTTCTTAGTTCAAATTGCAAGACCAATTTTGGGTATCACTCACTCAAAATTGGTAACAGGAGATATGTAACCACCAAGATAGGTGCTTTACTTTTCCTTGTCAAAAAATGACAGTCAAGCTATAGTAACTTACATATGTGCTCTTCGATTTCTGGTCCACAAACTCTTTGTTCGCCTTGACATGTGTCTTCTTCAGAAGCTCATACGGATGAGCTGGCCTTCCTAGTTCTTTAGCCTAAAATTGAAAATCACATTCACTGTATTAATACATAATCACTAGCTTTGGATATATTATAACTTGGCTAAAGAAAAATGAATATACCAGTAGTCTTGCATGTTCTCGGTGAGTTCTGGAGCCTCCTGTATGGCGTGAGAGACCAGACCCTTCACCACCTTTCTCACTTAGTCGATTCCTTGAGCACTGCGCGGACTTGGCTTTAAAAGCCTCAGTCTCCCAGTGAGGCTTCCAGCTCTCCCAAATAGATATTGGAATATGTTTGCGCTTCTTCTCACAAAGTCTTGCTTCAAATAACATACGCTTGTATAGTTTTTCACATTTGCTCATAAACTTATCCTTTATGGCACTACCAAATCTAGTGTCCCATTGAAATCATTTCTATTCGAGAAGATCAAATGAAAAATAACACAAGATACTGATAACAACAACAACTTACCCAGTGTAGTAAACCCTCAGCTCAAGAAAGATAAAGGGAACTCCAAATATTATCGATCTTATTTTAAAAAAAAAAAGAATAGCTCCAAATATCTAAAAGGAATGAGAAGGATCTTCTAGCTTAGCTAAAGAAATTTTTTTACTGATCTAAAAACCAAGTTAGTAACAGAGATCATCAACCAAATACTAACAAAGAAGTGTGATCCCTCAAGACAACAAAAACCTTTGCCAGACACGATTATTATCAACATATAGGACCAAAAGTTTATGCTTATTCCATCATTACTATTGTGGTCATTATAAATTTTCCCTAGCTCTTCTCGGACACTAGCGTAGCAGAACAGAGCAGTCCTAGAATTGCTTTGTCAAAGTACTTGATAAATGACGATGCTTGAATCAAAACCTATGCAACTCAACATATGTATATTCTAGAAGTTGAAGGAAATATGAGATCTTAAAATAATTCATGCAGTAGTTACTTCATGATATTTGTACATTTGGCATAAATGGAAACTAACTAGTACAATATTAAGGTATTAAGTTTTCTATTTCTCATCCTTTTATCTTGCATTACTGACGTGTAGGTATTTATAGCAGCATAAAAACACTAAAACTAAGAAGTCTTGGACGTTATAAAAGCTGTTATATATAAGGATTATGATTGTTTTCACTAATTATGCAACAAAAATAAGACATTGCAACGAGAGGAATTCAAGTATCGTGAAATTATGATAAATGTATCACATATATACTCGACAGAATGATATTATGAAGAAAAAAACACCAATATGACGAAACTAGAAGGACTTAACCATGATTACAAGGTTTCTCAAAGATGTAAGAGATGAATAACAGTCTACTTCAGATAAAATTAATAGCAGTAGATGAAATAATTAGAAGCGCATTCACGATATCATGATTTTTCCTACATTTTAGGTTGGACTACTGAAATTATCTGTTAGAAACTAACAAAGTAAAGAACTGCATTCTCCCTAGCCAGCTAAAGCATACTTCTAATGCATTTGTTTATTAGTTCATCATAATCATCCCATATCTCCTATACATCTCAACATTGAAGATTACTAACCAGATTTTGTTTGGCTACCCACCCTAGTATTAATCAAATCAGAAGCCTCGAACCAATATTTTTTGGAATGCGCACAGAACAGATAAAACAAAAGATTGATACAACAGAAATTTTAAATATACAAAGTCCATTATTAAAATAATAATTAGTACTATAATTTTACCTTAAACTCTTCCCAATAGAAATCTTTTGTATCTGGTGTAACAGACTTCCAATTATGTCCTTCATGATCCAGTTTCTCCTTGAAGATTTTTGTGATAGACTGAGCAACTTGATTGCCTGACTCCAGACTTGAGTAAATAAGAAACGAATTATTTTATTACTCCATTCCATTTAAAGCTTTCATATTCTTTCAAGAAGCATTTGAAAAATAACGTGAATTATTTAGACGGTGCTTAATAATCATCAAGAGGGACATTCTTCTGTCCATCTTCTTACGAGAACAACCAATTTATATTTTTTTTGTATGAAGTGTAAGTAATATCTTTATTTTACACAATTCCTGCAGTAAATGAGTTGTTACCTCCTAACTAGAGTTAATATGAAGGAATTAAGATTTTGATATGCAACGTAGACCACATTAATGCACTCATATATGCATATCACATAAATTCTTCCAACAGTTTTCCTAATAAGACCAAGTCTTACTTCATATAAAATAAAATAGAAAAGATTTCCTCTATAAGATGATTCCATGAGTATATTTATCTAGAGTCATTGTCTAGTCATATTGAAAAAGATAAGAACTTTCCTGCTTTCTCTAGTTTTTGGATATGAGCACCCTGCTATTAGAGTAGAAAATCAATGACATATTCATTTAAAGTTTTTGTCCTACGTACCATATAAAAAAGATAAAAAAAAGATTTCGCTAACTGAAATACTATAACAAATTGTGCCTCAACATGTCTGTCCCAATAGTCTAAATATGTATCTATCTTTATAGATGCTAAACAATCAGGCATGACTTTACAAAGATGCACGATACACATCAGATAAGCACGAAACATAAATAAATAAAAAAACATAAATAGATGACACTTGTACTCTTACACTCCAAGGGCGATTGTAATTAGGATACGGTTACCACCAATTGCGTTTGACGAACTTGTTGATCGGATTTCATCTCCAGGTGTACCAAGATCAGAAGATGAAGATGGTAAGGATCTGTTTATAGTTGCATCCAAATGTGACGTTTCTATAACTTGAGGGTCAGGTGATAATGGTGACTGATTAGATGTAGGACTCAACATCTGAGGAGATCTAAGTGAGTTTGTATTCCTGTTTTCAACATATCTACGTGCTTCACCTCCCGTAGGTGCCATATCTGCAATTCCAAAGTCATATGTAGATGACCAATTAAAATAATTAATGAATTATGATCAAATCTAATTGGATACAGTGATAAGTAGTTAATTGATATAGTATTCCAAGAGTAATTAACTAATACATTACTCCAAGAACAGATGCTTTGAAAAAAATAAGCATACAAGTATTAATATAGACATGACAGATTAAAAAGTCAAACATATGAAGAGGAACAAATTTACTTTATAAGTATTTCTTACTGCACTTGCAAAATACAACTACTACTCCTCACAAAATGAGGGTGATGGTCACCGGTCAAACAAGCCAGCGAAAGAACTATTAAATACAAATACCAAAGTTAAAAAAAAAAACAAGAACCCATAAAATCTGAAATCCAGGAACTTTTTTCTCAAGAAATATAAAATCAAATAGTAATAAAAATAAATTATATATTATGTTTCACTCATTCAGACTCTATAGTTGAAGAGATTGAAGCACTTTAACTCTATTCACTGTCATTTTCATCATATGGCTCTTCATCCTCATCTTTCCAATTCAACATGAAGTTCTACTTCATCATCTAAATTATCATCCCCGTCTCTTATGTTTATGAATTCACCATTTGGATCATTCAGGAGAACAATTTCATTGTCAGGTACCACACTAAATGTTAAACTATCTTCCTCAGATTGGAATGACTCAACACCATCTGCCGGAGTTGACTATTGTAAGCACGTAATTTTTGATCCGCACGATTTTTAAGAGTTATTTTAGTATTCGTAGTATTTTTATTATCTATTTGATTTTATAAAATTTTAATATTTTATCTTCAATTTTATTTTTTAGACACAAAAATAAAAATACAAAAATAGTTCATTATATATTTTCTTATTTCTTTTACTTAAATCCATTAGTATTTTATAGTAATATTTTGATTTTTACTATGATTTCAATTTATTTCTTTTTCTCTACCCTTACTTAAAAATACAAAAAATAGTTTCATATTATTATATAGCTTACCTTAATTAATTGGAATTGATTTATATTTAATAGTATTTTGAATTGTTTTAAAGAAAAGGGTTAAGTCACTTAGTTGTTGGACTTTAAGAATTGAAATTCAAAATTTGGAGCCCAATTTCAAATTTCCTAAATCCAAGCCCAATCCCATAACCCTAAGCCCCTTCTCCCTACCTAAAGGTAAATACACACTCACAATAAAAGAAGGGGGAGTCAGCCGCACCACAAAAGAAGAAGAAAAAAGGGGGGGAAACTCCTAACCTAGAAAATCGGCAGACCCTCAAGCAAAATGAGAGCAGCCGCCACCCTCAACAAACTCCAGCAGCAGCCGTCCCCACCTTTTGGCTTAGCCCTCGTCTTTTCCCTCTATTCATTTTCCCTTTTGGATTCTTTTGCAAATTCCTTAATCCACCTGACATATAGTAGTCCCAAGAATTGTTTGTAGAATTTTTCCTAATTGTTTGTAGAATTTTTCCTTCTTTACCCATTTGGTTTGGAGTCGAGTATTCTGGATTTCACATTCTAGCTGCCTGGGGTTTCTTTCGATTTTTCTCCTGGGCTTATAACACAGAAACGCAAGCCACATCTCTGAAACGACAAATATGCAGCGTTTTTGGGTGGAGAGAGCAGTCGAGGTTTTCGATCGATTTTCCGACGAGGTTCGTTGAGGTTTCCGGCGAGGTGGACGCCGTCCATTCCAGCTCATTTCCGGATTTTATTTGGTACTTCGAACTGTTTCCTTGCTTTCAATAAGTAAGCTCTTCATCTTTGCCTTCTTTATTTTCCAGTTTATCTCTGCCCCTTTTTGTTGAATAGTATTTGACATGAATATATGGAATCTTGTTGTCTTTCAAATCCTGTATATTCGTTTTCCTTTGTGTGGCAATCTTTATCATTCTATGTATTTAATTTAATTAATGTGGATTATAAGATTTGGTTTGCAAAGTGATAATAACCCTTTAGGAAAAGGTTGAATGATATGGTGGTATTTCTCATTTTTTGGTGTGTTCTTTTGTTGGTATGCATTTTGCACACATCCCACCCGTCATTCTTATCACGCCTTAAGCTAGGATAAGCTGTATAATACACTTGAGCCGCTTGCATTGCCAAAACAAATGGTTCATACATTTTAATTTCTTTTCATGGTTGATATCCACAAGTTTATATTGTGGGTGAATCTTCATTACTGCCTTTGGTGTGGGATCAAACCACTCGTACTTGAGTAAAACAATTCTCTTTATATACTAACTACCCTTGTACTCCAATTCAAGGATATTAGTTATCACACCATAGTAGTCACTATCATTTGCACTATATATTAGTTTCTTTTATGCATACACCGTTGTTGTTAGATGCTCTATAAGAACTGCGGGTTCTAGTGTGAAATTTAAAGTCGTTGACAATATAACCAGTCCATGGTTGTGCAGTTTGACACGGACCTTCTGCAATGGCCTTGATGAACTGATTATCTATGTGGACTCGTGCCTATAAAAGAAAAATAATTAGAGTTTCTTATAAGCGAGGTAAGTATAAGTGGGAGGATATTGTACAAGTACTCACATATCTTTTAAACTATGATGCAGAATCTTCATCAAGTTTCTTATCCACTTCCTTCTCCATAATATGCGGGAAATTTTGATGAAGGGAGTCAATAAAAATCCTTTGAATCACATCGAAGAAAATTACTATATTAAGTGTTTTGATGAATTTGCTAATCTATAAATGAAAATAAAAGATTGAAGTCTTACTCAATATATGGGTGTACTTGTGCGCAATTTAATAAAATATAAATATGAGCTGCATCAAGTTCTTCTTCAGTCATATATCTTGGTTTACATATCCCAAATGCTTTACCTGGATAGATAAATATAGAATGATTACCATCGTGTTCATCCGTTTCACTTATACCACCATCATCATTTCGTGGAACTTTTCTATGCCTTATGTAAACATGAGGCTCGAAGTAGTGTGAACAAAAACTTATGCCTTATTTCGAACATTATTTTTCAATTTCTGAAGGTTTTTTGAAATAACGTATAAGCTCAAATTGTGAGTCATTCATGATGAAAATGAAGTGCTTGAATTAGTATCAATGAAATTTTACCTCTTAAATGGGTACATCCATCGTACGCAAGATGCACGGTGAGATGTTCCATTGAATCAAAGAAGTTGGGAGGGAATAAACGCTCCAATTTACAAACTATTTCAGGTATTTCTTGTTCAATCTGACCGTATCCTCTTCCCGAATTGCTGTAGAAGTGAGATCCCTAAAGAAAAGGCTCATCTCAGCAAGTGGTTCGCAAACTTTTTGTGGTAATAGCTCTCGAAACACAATAGGGACCAATCTTTGCATGAGTACATGACAATCGTGGCTTTTCATACCAAACAATTTATGTTTTTTCATATCCACACACCTTCCCATTTTTGAGACATATCCATCTGGAAATTTGAGATTCTCCACCCATTCACACAACACTTTTTTTTGACTTCTTGTCTAGTGTGTAACTAATTTTTAGATATTCGTCACCAACAACATGTAATTTAGGGCGTCGACAGAACTCTTTCAAGTCTTCCCTAGACTCGGGATTATCTTTGGTTTTACCATCTACATCCAGCACCGTGTTGAACACATTCTCGAAAAAGTTTTTCTCGATGTGCATAACATCTAGATTGTGTCGAATGAGATTTGTACTCCAATATGGCAAATCCCAAAATATGCTTCTTTTCTTCCAACCAGAAAACTTACTAATTTTATCATTAACAATATCAACCCCAAGCTGTGTTACCTTTTTCAACCCCAATTCATTTATCTCCTTCAATATATCATCATCTGACCGTATCGGGGGAGGATGTGTTGTGACCGCTTTATTCTTTCTAACTGAATTTCTATTAGTTCTGTATGAATGATCCAGTGGTAGGAACTTACGATGATTGTCAAACCAGGACTGTTTGCCACCTTTTGTCAAAGTAAAAACATCTAAATTCTCCATACAATATGGACATGCTAGCCTACCTGCAGTACCCCATCCAGACAACATCGAATGTGCATGAAAATCATTAATTGTCCACGTCAAAGCAGCTCACATGTTAAAATTTTGCTTCTTTGAGATATCATATGTGTCCACACCTATACTCCACAGTTTTTTTAGTTCTGCAATCAAAGATTGCAAGAAAACATCAAGTTTTTGCTTAGGGTTCTTCGGCCCAGGAACTATAACTGACAAAAACAAATAGGACTTTCGTACTCATCCAAGACGACAAGTTGTATGGTGTCACAACTAATGGCCAACATGAATACTGTTGACCTGTTTGTCCAAATGGTTGAAAACCATTTGTGCATAGTATGACATTACGACTTTCAGCTGCAAAAGGTGGATACATCTTATCAAATTGTTTCCATGCGGGTGCATCTGAATAGTGACGCATCAAACCTTCCTCAACTTCATGTTCGATATGCCATCGCATATGTGCAACAGTCATGTCGGAAGCATATAAGTGTTGCAACCGTGGAGTAAGGAAGTAGTACCTCTGTTTGAGTGGTACAAGATTTCTCTTTGAATTAGATATTTGCCTAGTAGGCTTGTACCTGGAATGACAACAAAACTTGTAATGGCTAAGTTTAGTGTCTTCTCCCCAATAAATCATACAGACATTAATACAACTGCGAATTTTTCTACTGGCATGTTCATTCCCTGCATTAACTTCTTAGTTTCATAGAAATTTTTTGGCATTAGGTTATCATGAGGAATCATCTCATTCACATATTGACAAATGTCATCAAAATATCTATCAAATAGATGGTGTTCAGACTTGATATGCATTAAACGTGCAACATCTGACAATTGAGAATGTGTTTCACATCCAGGCCACACCTCTTGATTTGCAGAATCAATCATATCATAAAATTTTTGTGCATCGGGATTCGGTAATTCGTCCATATATCGAATAAGGGGCCAACGACGTCAAGGACCATTCTATGGTATGAAGCAGGTGATCCAAGCTCATCAATTACACCCACATTTACTGATCCCAATTTTGCATCTCTTCATGTTGATCTATATTTCTCGTAACCTCATTTTCTCCGTGCAAGTACCATATATGATATCCAAGTACAAAGCCATTGCGCAATAAATGTTCGTGGACCGTAAAAACATCTTCAAAATTTCTATTTTGACATTTTTTTTTGTTACATGGGCACCTTAGTCTCTCACCATCCCTCCCTTCCCAATGATTCTTTGCAAACTCAATAAATTTCTCAACACACCTTACGAATTTTGGATTATACAAACCTCTCGTTAACCTTTTGTATATCCACTCACGATTTGAAGTCATTTTTCTGGCACACTTTCTTTTCTGATAATGTAAAAAGATTACAGTAGCATTTATTGATATCTAAAAATCTTTGGATAGTAAAAAATGAGTACTAATAATCAAATTAGGCTTCGAATCCCAATTATAATGAGCACACGCTTTCAAATCATTACCTAAAAAATGGCACAATAAATGTTCACAGAGAGATTGGAAGAGATAGCTACATACCAATAGCAAAGGACAAATGTTTAAAAAAGCGATCGCTTCGTCGTTTTAAGCGAGAAGCATTGCGAAGCGACAATGCATCATTTTTCTGAAGTTGAGGCGAGGCGATTTTCAAAAGTGATTGCTTCAACACTTGAATCGAGAAGCGACGCAAAAGCAAGAAGTGAAAAAACGATCACTTTAGTCAAAAGGGGTCAATTTCTTTTTTTAGAAAAAGATTGGGTCTTTTTCTTATTATACAAAACATAGACCCCAAAGTGAATATATTTCATTATCTTCTTCCATTCCATCTAGCATCGTTGCTGCTAGGGTTCCAGAAGTCTGTCCAGGTAATTTCTTCTTTTTTCTTCTTATTTTCTTCCTTCTTTCTTCTTCTTCCCGTTGTGTCCACTACTAGGGTTCCAGTAGCCCTTCTTTTCCCCTTTTATTTTTCTTATTTAGCCTTTATTTATTAATTTTTGTATATTTTAGTTTATAAACTTAATTATTATATTTTTGAATTGTTGCTGCTTTGCTGATTTTAGTATATTAAATTTGATTATTATTATTATTATTATTTTCCGTTTTTTCCTTTTATTTTGAAATTTTATTGATTTTAGTTATTAAATTTAATTTAATTAAGGTGTTGCTCATTTCAGTTTTATATATATATATATATATATGTTATATTTTCAGTTTATTTCTTTATATTTGTTTTTCTTATATCTTAATAGGGATATATATTTATTTTTTTGATTATTTATGTTGTCTCTTTGTAAGGTTTACTTTTGTTTTTTTAAGAATTGTGCTCAACTTCAATGATCTAATATCTGTATAACCAAACAAATATAGCATATCAACATATCTACAATATACTTGAAAAATTAGATCGATAAAAAATACTTACCATTTAGCCGAATGGATTGTGAATTGAGAAACATCCAAACGATAGCTTGTGAGAGACTGGTATACTTTATTTTTCTTCTTTTTATATAATTTTTCTTCTTTTCTTTGTCTCTTTGGAAACTTTCCAATTTATATCGCTTTCTCCATTTTTCTTTTTGAGTATTTCGTAATTTCACTTTTGATTCTTAAACTATGTTAATACTAACTAATCACATGACTTATACATGTATCTTTAGTTATTAAATTATCATACAAAATAATAAACTTTAATTGCACCAAACTATTTGTACAAAATAATAAAATTTTAATTGCACTCATGTTTGAATTACAAAATATAAACTAAGTGCAAAAATAATTTAGATCTAATTATTTAATATTCGAATATGTAATGAAATTATTACTAATACTAGAATGTATAATTAATATTTTAAAAGGTGTAGGCATGAGGCAAAGCATTTTATCTAAACACACGTGAGACGGAAGCCTCAGGACGTGAAACATAAGTCCCATGGATAATTAATTTTTAATATTTTAAAAAGTAATATCATAAACATACAAATAAATAAACAATAAAATTACATTAAAACATTAAAAATCATAAAATAAATTAGTATATGTATATTTGCAAAATACTTTTTCTCTTATATGAAAAAGTAAATAACATAAAGATACATTACACCTATAATATAACTATGATGGTAATCCTCAGGGGTTGGCCTGGTGGCAATTGACTTGAACCTTGAGGTTTGCTCCCTTTCAAGGTCTCAAGTTCGAAACCCACTGGGTGCAAACAATTTCTGAGGGCCATCGGACTGGGTAAAACCTTAATTAACCGTGGTGCACTTACGGGAAACTCCTTGCCTAGGGCCTGTGCACCCCTGAGATTAGTCGGGGCTCTTAGAGACTCGGACACCCGGTGCAAATAGAAATAAATATATAACTATGATGGTACATAATTAGAGTTGTAAATGATACTCTATTACCTAATAATTCAAAAATAAAAAATAGAAATAATATAAAGTTATTGTTTGAACATTTTAAACTATGAAACAAATTACAAATACTCGTTATTATATAATTAGAACATCTTTTGAAATAAAATCACCATAGCAATATCTAAACAGTGTGATACCAAAAAAACTAAAATTAGAGACTAATTTGAAAAAACTATAAAAAGATTGACGAAGATATGCATAAGAAGGAAACTACAAGCTAAGGAGGACAAAGCTCTTGGCTCCAATTATTATTTTATTGTGTTTGTGTCTCTATCTCGTTCTTATCGTAGGCCGTGATGGTGCTCAACGTTGTCGTTAGACAAACCAACCATAAATTATCACCACAATTGATAGCCCATAACATTTTAAAACTCAAATAATAAAAATGATTAAACGGTAGTAACTTATGGGATCTTGATCGATAAAATACTATAACATCTTCATCAAGCTATGGAATATAAACAAAACATAAAATGAAATAATGTATAGCAATTACAACCATGAACATCTGGTAAAATCATCAACCCTCGGTGTCGCAAGTGCACGAGCATCTAATAGAATGTACAAAACTACTACAACTAGGGGTGGGCAATCGAGACATTCGGATTGGATATGAAAATTTCAGTTTGGATATGTGGTTGTCGGATTAAAGAAATTAAATACAATCCAAATAAGTTCGGATTGGATCGGATTTTTTAAGTTCGATTTTGGATTAATCAGTTTGGATATTTTGGATTTTCGGTTTTGAGCTTATAAGTTGAGATGTTTCTTCCCTTTACAAGAATAAATATACAAATGAAGTACTTATGTTAAATTGTCTGAAAAGTTCCTCATTCTCACCGCAACCATCCAAATGAAGTATTCAAGTAATGAAATTATTATCAAGGAAATGCAATAGAGACATTAACACGACCTAAAAGTAGCAATAGTAAATCCGTATCTAAATATATAGTATTCTGACAGTAACTTAGTAGGGCATTGAACTTGTTATTATTAGAATATGGATAATGGATTAATAAAGTATAAGAATTTTGGATATCCAAAATTCGAAGTACCAAATCCAATATCCAATTCGAAATCCAAAAATTTTAAAAATTAAATCCAAAATCTATTCCGTTATTCGAAAATTCAAACCAAAAATCCAAAAAATTCGGATTTCGGTTTGAGCTTCGGGTTTGCCCAAACTATGCCCACCCCTAACTACAACTACTGTTTGGAATGAAAGTAGAATACAATTAATTTAGGGAAAGGAGACTCCGAGTGATGCGGTTGAAGCTTGGAAAGCAACTCACTACTAAGTCTCCAGCTGATACGACTATGCGCCTAAGTGAGCACCCGATGCACCCCCCTCAGTACCTGTACAATTAGTGCAGAAGTGTAGTATGAGTCGTAAATAAATTAGCCTCGGTGGTTTAACAAACTAATCTTCTCAAAACAAATCATGATAGAGTTATTGATGAGATATTGTATTTCCTAAACGTGACAGTTTTGGGTATGATAAAGATCGGGAACATAAACATAAATCTAAGTCGTTGAAATAAATTTTTTATTAAAAACTTACTCTAGTTGTTTTTTCCTCTTAGGCATTCTCTCATGCACCAAACTATAACCAAGAGATTTGAGAAGGTGAGATTTATATGTGAGTAATACAGTTTTCGAGTTTATATTATCGAGTCGATAATATTGCTTGTTGGGCTTTTGTATGTAGGCTAATTGTTGGTGGAAGTATAAGATCCTTTCACGTTATTTGTTAGAGAAAATATTTAATTTGATTAACGGTTGGAAAAAGAGCTAAAGGTTAAAACAATATAGGTACTTTGGAGTAGCAAAGAACTGAGGAAAAAAATGTGAATGAGATAAGAAAAAATTAGAGCTTGATATATAGGAAGTTGAAGGATCAGATGAATATGACCTATTAATCATTCAACCGATTAAAGCTCTTTCTCAGGCATCGAAGAAGATGCATATTTGGATCTAACTAATTAGATGGTTCGGAAGAATCCTGAACTGGTTTTGATGGGTTCTTGTGTTTTATTCAAATAAATTAAAATATTAATCCTTACAAATTAGAATAAACTATATTATATTTGGGTTATAAGTAAAATACTAAATGAAAAAACCCAAGTAAGATGTCGTCATAGTAAAATAATGTATAAAGAAAGAAAAAGAGAGATAGAGTAACACTGAGTATACTTTGAATTAACTTAAAAAAATAAAGTAAAAATAATATTCAAAAATATAATTGATAATTTCAAATAATAAATGAATTCGGAGCAATCGAAAAAGTCTAAAAGAGGTAAATTTTTTGGTGCATACATTGAGATAATATGATATTTAATTTATGATTTTGTTAAAATATATGATTTAAAGTACCCAAACAATTCAGATCGATCATACTTTCATATAATTAATATTCTTTAATAATGTACGAGCATCGTGGTTACTAATACTACTATATTAGTGAAAGTTGCCCAAGTGCCTATTAGTCGGAAGTCTATAACCAAATATTTGGATATTTATATCTGAAAAATATAATTTTACGTGAATTTTTTATTAAAGATTGGAGTGTGACTCCAATTTATAAAAAGATGATTCTTATTCGTGCACAAACAATAATGAAGTGTGACTCATGATATATATTGATATATTTATATTTACTATAAATGCTAGATTCGTCAGAAAATATCAATTGATTATATATCTATCATTAAATTTATCAATCGTTTCAATGCTAGTTGGTAATTTACCAACTATTTCATCTCCATATTGATAAATTTTCCAACTATTTCAATATCAGTTGGTAATTTGCCAACGAAACTAGGCTTAGTAATTACTAACAAATTCCGTATCGTAAGTAATATTAAAAATTAATTTTAATTTGCTGATAAATTACAAACCAAAATCTTGATCTATGGTGGTTGTGATTGTGATTTTGGAAGGTGATGATGGGTGGTGATAGTTTATAATGGTAGGAGGTGAGTGAATTTGTGGTTATGGTTGAAGATAATGGTGGTGGTAGGTGGCGGCGGCTATGGTTGAGAATGGTGATCATGGTGGTGGTAGGTTATAATGGTAGGCGGTGGCGGTAGTTAGTAATGAATGTGGATGATAGCATCTTAATGAAATTAAGTCTTTGCTATAGATCTTAATCATACTGACCTATTAATTTATTGTGAAGTAAAAAAAAATACACTTAATAATTAAGATTTAAATGATTAAGATTCAGACCTCCATTAAGTGCTAACAAATGAGGCCTAAGTCATCTTGGAAATTAACAAGTCCAAGCATATTGGACTTGGTAATTAGTGTTGGATATCTGATGAGTAATATATATTGAACTTATTAGATTGAGCATATGTGTAATGCGCTAATGTCTGATGGGTAGTCGGGTAGGGCTAAATATAAGATTACAAGATTCTCGCCATTTTCATCATTATTATCTTCCATGTAGCTTTTTTTAGTAAAATTATTTGTTTTCTCTCTGAGCAGGGGCTGGGTATGTTATGGTATGAGGCCCGACGCCTAATATTTTTGGGGCACTGGTGCTATTAGCTTTTGGTAAAGCTGACCGAGATATTTCTTTGAAAGCATTTCTTGTTGATCAACTTAGGAATAACATGGAGGAATCTGAGCTTGAACACCTTTCATAAGCAAATCCAAAAGCCAACTGGATAGTTTCCTAAGTTGCACGTATACTATTACGGAAATCTTTAAGTGAACCACTTCGTGAAGAGGATCACAAAAAAATAAGGATAGAAATACTACGAAGACTTAGTTGAAGATGCAGCTGGATTATAGACATTTTTCGCTGCATTCCTCTCAAATTAAGAGTGGGAGTGGCTTACAAAGATATGTACATTTGTAATGGTGGGAGGATTGCAATAGTCTTGTTAGGCTTCCCATTTTGTGAACGCAAGGAACTATCAGGGAACTCCCTTCGTTATGTCTTTAAGATTGTTAAAGCGGCAATATCAAAGATGCATTTGAATTACCAGTCTCTAATCATCAGTTGTTCAAGAATGACACTACCGATACTTAGATTCTTCCTCGCATTGCATACCTCAGGTACATTATAATGTAATACGTACCTAAACTTAACTCCCCATTGACTAGTTGGTACATATATAATAGTAGATCCTTAATTTTTGTATAATCATATGATATCCGACATCTATTGACTCAAACGTATGTGAATCATCCGTCTTATAGCATATAATTTTTTTGTGTGTTGATGGTTAGACAAGGTAGCCATACTGGAGGCGTTGCCCCTTCACGTTCAGAATCAATCGAGCAAGAAAACGTGTTGGGCAGACGACTTTTTGAGGTGGCAAAAGTGAGGGAAGTGAAACACTTGTTAAAGATGCTCCCGTTATGGTCAACATTTCTTGTTTACAGTCTTGTAGGGGCTACAGGGAGAACCTTCTTTTTTGAACAAACTAAATATATGGATGACTGTCGCGGAAATTGCTCATTAATAGTTTTTGTCATTGCCATGACATTCACACATATCCTGTATTTAGGATATGTCCGTTGCACCACAATGAAATTCATGTGCGGCATCCTTTGATCAACAGAGTTAGCCTTCGAATGTTTTGTTCCGTAATATGTTGTGTAACTGTTTGGAGAGTTGAAGATCACAAGCTTCATCATGTGGGGATACACCTCATTAGTATTTTCTGGCTAACTCTTTAATTCATCTTGATTGTGATTATGGAGGGATTGACTGCCATTGGACTCCAAGATTTCTTTGAATCTCAGGTTTCTGAGTCAATGAATCAGTATGGATCACAATTAAACGAACTCGTCTTAGGCATTAGCCAATTCTTAAATGTCATATGCATCATCATTTTCGAATCCTTATTTAAGGAAGACGTAGATAAGAGCCGTTTAGACAAGTATTATGCAATGTTAATAGTTCCTACCTTTCTCAATTTTTGCTTATGCTGTTTGTTGATCAGGAACTGGTATGATAATCATGAGCCGTATGATACCGAAGTGTTGGAGGACATTGCTTAAGAATTATAGGAGAACATATTAAAGATGATAAATTAGAACAACACAAGCTAGACTTTTTTATGTCCTCACTTCTTTAAGAATATGTCCTCCCATAATTCTTGAGCAATGTCCTCCAACACTTCGGTATCATGAGGCTCATGATTATCATACCAATTTCTGATCAGCAAACAACATAAGCAAAAATTGAGGGAGGTAGGAACTATTAACATTGCATAATACTTGTCTAAAAAACCCTTATCTACGTCTTCCTTAAACAAGGATCTGAAAATGAGTAAGACGAGTTTTCGTTTAATTGTGGTCCATACTGATTCATTGACTCAGAAACCTGAGATTCAAAGAAATCTTGGAGTCTTGTGGCAGCCAATCCCTCTATAACCTTAATCAAGATGAATTGAGGAGTTAGCCAGAAAATAGTAATGGGGTGTATCCCCACATGATGAAGCTTGTGAACTTCAAGCAGTTACACAACATATTACGGAACAAAACATTTCAAGGCTAACTCTGTTGAGCAAAAGACGCCGCACATGACTTTTATTGTGGTGCAACGAACATATCCTGGATACAGTGAATGCCATGGCAATGACAAAAACTATAAGTGAGGAATTTCCGAGACAGTCATCCATGTATTTAGCTTGTTCAAAAAATACTACAAGAAATGTTGACCACAAACGGGAGCATGTTTCACTTTTGCTACCTCAAAAAGCCATCTGCCCACCATGTTTTCTTGCTCGGTTGATTCTGAACGGGAAGGGGACGACTCCTCCAATATGGCTGCCTTGTCCAACCATCTGCATAAAAAAATATGTTATAAGATGGATGATTCACATACGTTTGAGTCAGTGCATGTCGGATATCATATGGTTATACAAAAATTAAGGACGTACTATTGTATCTGTACCAACTAGTCAATGGGGAGTTAAGTTTAGGTATGTATTACATTATAATGTACCTAAGGAATGCAATGCGAGGAAGAATCTATGTATCGATAGTGTCATTCTTGAACAACTGATGATTAGAGACTGGGTAATTCAGATGCCTCTTTGATATTGCCGCTTTAACAATCTTAAAGACATAACGAAGAGAGCTCCCTGATAGTTCATAAAATGGGAAGCCCCAACAAGAATATAACAATCCTCCCACCATTACAAATGTATATATCTTTGTAAGCCACTCCCACTCTTAATTTGAGATGAATTCAACGAAAAATATACCTATAATCCAGCTGCATCTCCAACTAAGTCTTCGTAGTATTTCTATCCTTATTTTTTTGTGGTTCACTTAAAGATTTCCGTAATAGTATACGTGCAACCTAGGAAACTATCCAGTTAGCTTTTGGATTTGCTTCTGAAAGGTGTTCGAGCTTAGATTCCTCCATGTTCTTCCGAAGTTGGTCAAGTGTATTTGATACTGGGACTTCCATTGTTAAACTTTTTCTTAAAATGGAGAGTTGCTGTTTATAAATGTATCCTGCCTCATCAAGGTTCACACACCTGGTAAGTTTTGATTTTTATTCAGTATCTCTTTTCTCCTGTGAACATACCTAAGTATTCACTTAAAAAAAACATTTTGTCAATTTGATCTTGGTGTGTTTTAAGTATTGATTGCATCAAAATGCTTGACAGATTTTATTCTTAAACATTTTTCATCTGCATGTGTTTGTGCTACATCGAGAAATTGAAAGAGAAAAGTAGGCGCAACTTTGTTGTACTAATTTGTGGCATATCTATTTTGATTTGCACATGCATGATTCTGTATATTTGATGAATACAAATATGATATTTAGGATAAAATATTTATTTTCTGTTGCACACTAATTCACGGTATGCACCCAACGTGTTTGATGATATGACTGCAACAATTTCATAGTAATTTTATTTTCTCTTTGACAAGAAAAAGGGGGTTTACCTGTATCTTATTCATGCATGTTTCATGATCAATGCAACTGATAAGAAAAAATTATCTTTGGATATGATTAACCAATTCCTAATGTGAAGTTCTGTCCAAATATCTTTAGTGTGTTTCATCTGGTGCTTGGATGATGATTTAATGTAGGTGTTGACTTTTTGGAGCTTCAAGCTTCTGAAATTGCAGCGGCAATGGCTTTGTCTGCCTCGGCCTTTCAAGAAAAAAGCAGGCAAAAGACATTGAAAAGCTAATACAGTTGCCTTACTTTCTTTTATATTAGAAGAGACTTGACAAGCTTGAGCAGCCTCTTTCATCAACGCGCCTGCTTGGCAGCCATGTGTTCTGCCCTCGCTCTGTCCTATGAAATATCCAACCTTTTCTAGACTTATCTATCCTTCCACTCTTCTCCGAAGCTTAGTAGGATAACTAGGGCAACAATCGTTTGGATTTCGGCCCGCCAATTTCATACGACGCCATATGTAGCTGTAGCAGTTTTCTCTTTTGGGCCCTAGCAGTGAACTGAAACGTCACTTTTCTTAGGCGAACTTGCTTCTCTCCATCTCTTTTCTCCGGTGAAATCTATTGCTAGGTACCCTTCTTTCTCTCTGACCTTGTTCCTCTTGATTTCTACCCTTGCACTTCAAAATTCATCCTTATGCTACCCTTGTAATCATTTGGAGGTCTCCATGTCCGTTAATCGATTTTGCAATCGCTATGGGGTTTTTTTGATTGAGTTTTTGTCTAGACAATTGAAGAACCAGTCCTCTAAACATACAAAACATTTTTCACTTTTCAATATTCAATCTAACACATAAAATGGATCACGGAGTAGAATCTAACCATGACATTGGAGAGAAAATTTTAGCTACTCTCTTTCTGTGATAATAGTGTGGTTGATTTTAGTTGTTCCGTGGTTAAGAGTGGTAACTCCAATTGAAAAAGGCCTAAATTTGTAGTTCTTATTCCTACTCGCTTTTTCTGATAATAGTTTAGCCAAGATTGGTGGTCTGCTGTTAGTATCATACCAGTGTCTCTGTTATTTTCAATTCAATATTCAGATAATTATTTATGATACGTCAAATGTGAACAGGGCCGCTGCATAATGCCTGATTAAATTTCTTCAAAAAGGTTATACCCCTTAACTGGTGTCTTTTGGACTAAATAAGAACAAGTTCTGCATTTCGTCTTCCTTTTCTTTTTTGTTTCCGTCCTCTCTTCCCCTGTTATACTTTATACCCCATTTTTGCTCTATACTTTTTTTAACTATTGCCCTTCACTTCAATGAAGCGTGCGTTTCGCTTTTGAAGCGAGGCGAGCCCCTGTCGCTTTTTTCTCTCAAAAACAGAGTTATACACATTATAGCACAACAGCCTCAATATGAAAGACTAGGTACTTTTGGTACTCCTATTATTTGGTTTACGATACTTAGATAAGCTTCTTGTGAAACTACAATTGTTTTTTCTTAGCATAATAAGGTGCACAGAGTGTGCTACAAAAATAAAATAAAAAAGTACAATGAGTGCTAATGCAGATGTCCAGGTTCTTGAAATCTTTTTACACCATTCCAGTTGGAGATTTTGCTTACTGAAGGGTACATCACGATTTTGACTGGTTGGTTCTCTGGCAGTTTTTTGCGAGTATTTTCTACTTAGTGTTGTGGCGCTCAAACAGAAGGTTTTTGGTATTTGAAATGATTACCCGATAACAAAGAGACATATTATGCATCTTTTTACAGTCAGTTTCTTCTGCTGCTTTATTTCTTGACCTGTTGGAAAAGTGAACATTTGATTTTTTGTTTGAAGTCAATATCATAAGCCTGCTTCAGTTTTGGAATTCTCATTTGGATCTTTCCATGGAAGAAAACATATCTGTCCATTGGATATGTGAGAACCTGTTTGGTAAACTCTGTATGGAGTAATACTTTTTCAGATCTTTGGCCCATCCTAGACTACTAATGAAGGAACTACTAATATTCTTTTTGTGGGTGTAAAGTTATATTTAGCAAGAAATGGGGGACCTGTTTTTGGTTTTTAGACTAACTAGTAGCTTCTTAAATGTTAAGTTTTTTGAAATGCTAAGAAGATATTTAGTAACACCAGGTTAGACAGGACTCCTTAACCTACTTAATTTAAAATAGAAATTCAGGCCCTTTGTGGCATTTTCCTTTATCATTGATGGAGGAAGAGTGTGTCTATACCATTTAAGTTCCAAGTGGCAGGTAATCTTCTTTAGATAACCCGATGCACCAACCAAGATCATCTTGCCAAATTTCATGTAGTTACAGAGGTAATTTTGTACAATAATGGTCTTGTAAAGCTTATTTCAATGATAACAAAGTAAATTAGGCAAAAAGATCATCTTGCAAAAATGCTCAGCAATAACTGGATGGTACTTTTGCATCGATCATAACATCCTGCACATTACATAATGTCGTTGGTGTTGTAAACATTATTTGATTAGCTGCTGTTTCTGAACAGGCGAACCTAAAAACATTGCATTTTTAAGTAGGCTTCAGATTCCTGGTTTTCTCAGTTATTTTACTGTTTTGCAGTTTTCCCACTCTTAGTTGAAATGGTTTGTAGGGACAATGGCCCCTGTGATGAGATTTACAGCTTAATCTGGAGTCAAGATTTTTCGTGATGCGAGTAGTGTCATATGACAGTCTGGTAATGGATAGTTCAGAAATAGAAACCCACCCATCTCACATATTGCCATTGTCGAGGAATCTAAGGCACACTTCACCTTCAACCGAAATTACAGCGAGTGAGGGATTGTTTGGAGAATGTTGGTCACCTTCTAAGTGCTGAAGTTGACGGAATTCAATCTTTGTCACATGCTTAGTTATATGTAGACCATTCAGGAAGATATATTTCTCAATGAAAAGAGTATTTTTTCGACTACGTGACTGTAATTACATATATATTCAGAACTGTTGTTTACTATACTTACAGCTGGAAGTTTGGTGACTGATTTTCAGGAGAAGATCTGATTGCACCCTGCCACTGTAAAGGAACCCAAAAAAAATCCATAGTTCATGTCTTGGTAACTGGAGATCAGCTAACGTGAATTGCTTTAGTACTAACAGAGTTACTCTCAAAAAGAACAATTTACTGTCAAGACCTAAAATGAAAAAACCTATACCCTCAATGATACCCTTACATTGACAAAGTAATATAATTTATCTATATCTATCTATACTATATTAAAAGCACGAAGGCCCTTAGCGAAATCTAGTTCGCCTTGTACCCTTAAAATGTGATTTTATATTGAACAAGATCGTCATTTAAATTATCTCCTAATATTTAGAAGTTTTAAATTGAATAAAATTTTACTTATTAAAGGTTTCCTTATTTAAAGGGTTACATATAAGTCTAAAATTTAGGATATCAAACCAATTAAAATTTGACCTTGTATGGATCAAACAATTCATTTATAATAATTTGTTTTAACTTTTTTAGACCTACAAATAAGGAACGTGCATTTATAAATAAGGCATGTTAAGATTCCATTCAATCTACGGTTTCCTTTCAAATCAAATATTTAAACTATTCTATATACATCAAATTTATATAATTATTTTCTTAAAAAAAAACTTTACCATTAAAGTATATTCCTTATTTTGACTATCTATAAAGTTAATCCATTATACAGATTTGGACGAGAAGTAAATGAATAAAAAAAAGTAATTTAAAGACAAATATCTCCTTTATTGACAATTGACAATAAACAACATTTACTCTTAGAGGAATAATTCGCAATTACATATTATATTTTACCATCGTGTGATTCTAATAAGCTATTAATAACTTGACAAACAATTCAATATGCTAATTCACTTCTAAAAAGAACATTAATGAATATTCACAATTTTGTCCTCACTAATACTAACTAATAAATAATAACTTTCATAAACCACAAAAAAATTGTCAAACGAAATAACATAAAAAAATGAAATTTGAATTAAAATATAAATAATCAAATACTGAAAACCTGACAAAAATTAGAACTTTGGATGAAAGGTTTTATCACATTCACTTCCGCGACGCGATATTATATTCTCAAATTTTGAAATGCGACTAATAAAGAAAGTTTTTTACTGCTTAAAGGATTATTAATGAATTTTTGATGATCTACTTACAAATCTAATTACAGACAATTGCAAAAGAACTTCGGGACGAGCTTATGCGCCAGGCGTTGGGCGCATACTAGGCGTACGCATTAAGGTGGAAGGATCAAGATTTATTATTTTTAGAAACTTATATTTTTATGATTTTCATAAAAATATATTATTTAATTATATTTATGCGTTCGTTTAAAATGTTCTATAATCATTGACATGGGTACACGCGCAAAGCGCGTATCATAAAACTAGTATATTACAAAAAAGTACAACATTGTTCACGTTGGGTCCGGCAAAGCCCGGGCTAACAATACTAGTGTGTGTGTGTATATATATATATATT